CTAGAAGTACAGTCACAACTGAATATCTTCAAGAGGGTTCTATATTGAACCTTGGCCGGCAGAATCTAGAAGAGATGCAAATAAAGAAAATGTTGATTCGCCGGAATCCTGCATATCCTCCTCAATCTTGCATGCTTTTAATGAATGACTCCCTGCCCGATGAGAAGAATCAACGGCACCACAAAACTCTGGTATTATTTGACTATCAGGGGATCTTCTTTTGTAGGCTGAATGTGTCCTGGAAGGTGTCCCTTCTCGATAACCCAAGCTCTCAACCTCGTGTTTGATATCTTCAAGGTACAATGCAGTATTAGACATTCTACCTTCACCAAGTTTGGAAGCAGGACTATCTTGAAGCGGAGAAGTGCTTGGCCTCTTCCTGCACTTAAATCCAATTTAGTGTAACTATTGCAGTCAATATAACCAATTACCCATAACAGAAGAAAAATTCGTCTGGTTATAAACTTAACTCCTTCCAAGTTCCAACTCATAAATCTAGGACTTGAACTAACACATCCACAGAAAGACAGAGAGGGAGTGAAGAGGGATGAGGAAAGGATATCGAAGGACTTCACTTTAGCCTCGCAAAGATTGAGCACCTCTGTAGTCCAAGGATTGTCCCTCAACACACTTTCGATCATCCTATTTCCCACACCCAACCCCCCAATTCCCACCACTCCCCTATCCATTTTTTCCAAGGTGCCTCAGATTCTGAGAAGGGTGTGCAAACATATGGGAGTTAAACCAAAATTCTTAAACTACAATCTAAAGATATAAAGTTCCCAAAGAGGTCTACATCGATAATGCTACCCATTTTTTATTTATTCACCTTCCTTTAAATTTATCTTTCCCTTTCCTCCTCTCTCATTCCACTTCACTTAACAGCGAAAACACCTACGCTACAACTTCACACTTCACTGCTTCTTCTCTCACCAAATTCTTCTGCTAACCTAATTAATCTCCAATTCATCAATTTGGGCTATCAACCAAAACCACTAACCACTGAAAATAGTCCAATTTCCCAATTGAAATCATCCCAACTCAATCCAACAAAACCTCACTATAGCTAGACTGCTAATACATACTAAATGTAAAATCAAAAACCCGGTAAAATAAATGTCACTATAACTTGCTTGAAAATCTAAAAGAAGCAAACTTTATGGTCCAACAATTACTAAATTAATAATTCACATATAATCACTAAATGTAAAGCCGAAAATGCAAAAAATCAATGTAAAATTCGACAATGAGAAGCAATTTTAACTCTAAAAAAAACAAATACAGAAAATAAATTGAACAGAAGAATACCCGTATCTACGAAATTGCTCCCTGATGCTGAGGTCATGGGGATCAAAGTAGTTCGGAGAAGTGTCCATATCGACGTTCATGAGCTAATTGATTGTGGATTGATAAATTTACAGATTTTTCGACACTGAAACAAAACCCTAGAAATTGGGGTTTAAGCGCGAAAAAGAGACTATTGCAATTGGAATTTTGATGGGTTTATGGTTTAACGATTTTGATTACTTTAGCACGTTTTAGAAATTGAAAGTTAAACAAACACGGCAATTATTTTTTTTTTCCCTTTAAAATTTTTTTATAATTACAAGTACTTACGTATTTTTACACGAGTAATTTCATTTTAATTGTAGAGAAAAAAAAAACACCGTGCTTTTAGATCGGAACCTCAAGTTTAAGTGAGCAAGATTACAAATAAATTTTAATCTTTAAGCCATTAGTAATAGCTCATGGATGTCGATATTGTATTTTATGTATAGGAAATTATTAAACATGTAGAATTAATGAAACAGAAATCTTGGGTATTATTTTTCATAAAACCACTATATATAATACAAGCTAACACAATCCCAATCAAGATAGATTTAGAAAAGTATCACAAGATATTGTTAACTACTAAAAATATGCTATCCAATATATCCTAGGATCTTTGGAAAATATATCCTATTTTCCTCAATACCCCCCCTCAAGTTGGAGCACTCGGATCAAAGATGCCCAACTTGGAAAAGAGAAAATCAAACTGTGATTTCCCAAGTCCCTTGGTGAAAATATCTGCTAACTGAAAAGAAGTAGGCACATAGGATGGAGATATTAGCCCTTCATTGATTGCATCACGGACAAAATGACAATCAACCTCAATGTGCTTAGTGCGTTCATGAAACACTGGATTTTTAGCAATATGAAGAGCCGATTGACTATCACAAAACAACTTGATTGTCTGAGGATGTTCAATCCCCATACTCAATAATAAAGCCTTTAACCACTTCAACTCTAACGTAGCGGAACACATGGATCTATACTCGGCCTCAGACAAAGAAGTAGCCACTGTAGGTTGCTTCTTGGATTTCCAAGAAATAGGAGAATGACCAAGAAAAACAAGCCATCCTGTCAAAGAACGACGAGTGAGAGGACATGTCGCCCAATTCGAATCACACCAACCCTGCAAGGTTAGGTCACTAGTTGCACTCAACAAAATTCCTTGACCTGGGGTACCCTTCAAATATCGAACCACACGCATGGCCGCTTCCCAGTGCTCAGAACGCGGCTCTTGCATAAATTGTGACAGAACATGTACTAAATAAGCCAATTCCGGTCGTGTAACCGAAAGATAAATCAATCTCCCTACCAATCGACGATAGGACGCAGGGTCCTTAAGCAATGGACCATCGACAAGGCCAAGCTTATGGTTTTGTGGAATAGGAAAACCACTCGGCTTTGCCCCTAACAAACCTGCTTCAGAAATAATGTCCAACGTATATTTCCGTTGGCACACAAACACCCCAGATGAACTACGAGCCACTTCTATACCCAAAAAATACTTCAAGGGACCAAGGTCCTTCATTTTAAAACAGTCACCAAGATAAGCTTTAAACACAATCAATGCAGCGGAATCGTTCCCAGAAATAATAAGATCATCTACATACACCAAGACATTAATCTGAACTGTGCCTCTATTGTATGTGAAAAGAGAGTAGTCGGAGTAGGATTGAATAAAACCATACCCTTTCAAAGATGTCGTTAGCTATGCAAACCAACATCGCGGAGCCTGTTTCAAACCATACAATGACTTCCTCAAACGGCACACCAATGATGGATCAGAACTCTCAAACCCAGGGGGCAATTTCATGTACACCTCCTCATCAAGGTCACCATGTAAGAAGGCATTGTGAACATCCATCTGATGAAGATCCCAATTTTTAGAAGCCGCAATTGCAAGAAAAGCTCGAATTGTAGTCATCTTAGCCACAGGAGCAAAAATCTCTCCATAATCTATGCCTTCATGCTGATGATTACCGAAAACAACTAAACGAGACTTGAGTCGCTCAACTTGGCCATTAGACAAAAATTTTGTCTTGTACACCCATTGACTTCCTAGAGCTTTCTTGCCTGGAGGAAGGTGCTCTAAAGTCCATGTGCCATTATCTTCTAAAGCGTTTATCTTTTCTTTCATGGATTGCCTCCAACCCTCATGCTTCATAGCTTCTTTGAAAGATTTCGGTTCTTTGTCATGAACAATGGTTGCGAGAAACTTACGATAATTCGCAGAAAATTTGTCACAATTTATATAATGTGCTAAAGGATAAGAGATACCTGAAGGAGTGTTGGAGGACGGAGTGGACTGAGACGGACTATTAGCAAAAACGGAATGAGTGACATAATCTCGAAGCTTCACTGATGGAATTTTGTCACGTAAACCCCGACCCAAAACCTCCGGTTGTCACGCCTCTTTTCATGTTGCCTCCCCACATTACATGTACACTTCCCACATTTGCAATTAATTAAAGGTTCAAGTTTAGCAAGTTCATCCCATAAGACCTTCAATGTCCCAAAATAAATAGCCACTGTCATATTCTTAGATTGTTCACACCTATTAATTTGGGCCTTTAAATTTTGAATACGAGGACCATTAACCACACAAAACCTTACATGTAAATCATCCCATAAGCGTTTTGCATTATCATAATTAGAAAGCAAAGATTTTACCTCCGGATCAATCGTGTTCATGAGCCATGAAACGAGCATACAATGCACCACAACCCAATCCTCCTTGGTTGCAGGCGGCACGCAATCAGTGATAGTACCATCCAAAAACCCAAATTTCCTCCGAGACGAAAGGGCAACAAAGATTGCATGAGACCACGAATCAAAATTGTCAAGTTTTAACCGAATGGGAGTAATAAAGTCACCAGGTCTATCATGTGCCCCTAGATAGAATGGTGAATTGGTTTCTATTTTTTGTGGTGGCGGTGGTGGTGGTGTATCATCACCGGCCATGGCGAAATTTTCTGAGAAAAAAACTCTGGCTCTTATACCATGTAGAATTAATGAAACAGAAATCTTGGGTATTATTTCTCAGAAAACCACTATATATAATACAAGCTAACACAATCCCAATCAAGATAGATTTAGGAAAGTATCAAAAGATATTGTTAACTACTAAAAATATGCTATCCAATATATCCTAAGATCTTTGGAAAATATATCCTATTTTCCTCAATAAAACAAAACACCTTAAAAGTATGTTGAAGATTTCAAAATCGATTTTGTAATCTCCCTACATATTGTACACATCACCTAGTATAAGTCTAATTACATATGATCAAGTGTAATAAATGTAAACATAGAGTAAAATTAAGGTTAATTTGGTGTAATAAGTTCATTTTAAATAAATAAAAATAAAATAATTATCCCATTATTAGCAATATGTTATTGTAGTTGCAAACTATTATTCAAACAGATATTTTTTTTATTTTAAAATTGAAGAAAAAAAAATTTACAAATTTAAAATTGTTAACTAAAAATGTGATTTACTATATCCAATTGCTAATTGATTTAGTCATTTACAACCAACTCGTGAAAAAATGAGTCTATTTAAGTAATTCCTACGGAGTTTTATTTTACAAATGCATAGCCAATAATTTTGAAGGCTATAAGTAATAACTAGACGTGATATGTCACAGCTCCAACGTCACTTCTATTCCTAATTTCATGGGTGATGTATTACTGAATGTAAATTAACTCCCTTGATGCACTCTTCAATTAGCTAGCAAATTCACAGCTCAATTGGCTGGCTAATGCCTTAATCATCATTGTCGTATTTTACGATTTCACCTAAATGTACAAATTACGTAGTCGACTATGGAGTATTTATTTTACAAGGTATTTAAAACACCAGTACTGTAGCAATTAGCATTAAAAAAAAAAAAAAAAAATCTCAGGACAATTTATCAGTATTATCACTCTTTATCCACCCCTTGGAAATCTGTTCAATTCTAGCAAACAACACTTGGTTTCTGACAAAAATACTGGAAATCATCTTTTTATCTTCCACAACGATTTCATCACCCTTTTCATTTTCTCTCTCTTTTGGAGCTCCCAATTCGTGGAATTCCATACCCATTTCTCTCTCCTGTCTACAATTTATCAGAAAAGCAAGATAAAAATGGCGATGATATTTCACTGTTCTTCACTTCTTACTCCTGTAAAGCAGTCTGGTAATTCTTCTTGGCAGCAATTGTTCTCCAGAAAGTTTAAATTTGAGGGTCAGTACTAATTTTACTCAATCATCCTCTTTTATGTTGTAAATTGATGTTGTTTAAGCCTTTCTTTGTGTGCTAAGAATCATCATTCTGTTACCCAATTGAAGAATTGCTGTATTCTTCTGCTTAATTTATGAAATTATGATCTGGGTGTTTAAGTTTGGCGTTTTTGCAAGTTAGATTAGTTGGTAATGTTTGTGGTTCGTACTCGAAATTCGGGTTTTAACCCGCTTTATATTCTTCAATCTTATGTGAAAGTTACTTTTTTTTATTATTAATAATTTCATTTGTAATAGAGTTTGTGTGAAGGTTTTTGATGCAAGACTGTAGAGTACTAGAGTGTGGGTATATTATACAGAACTGAAGGTGTTATGAAATGCAGGGGTGAACAGTAAACTCAACGTGACATTCTGAAGATTGTCTATTAAGCTAGTGTTCTAGTTCTAATTATAACTTAGAAGTCCAGAGGCTACTAGGCTAGAAAGGGTAACCCTTACCCTTAGGTATACAGCTGGTGCTGCACAACCTCCTAAATCTCGCAGTAACGACCAGTCGTTTCGAATGTTTGGATATTCCTTTTTGTTGCTTTGATTGATGACTTAGAAGTGTTGACTGTTGATTTCTATGTTTCATGCTTTCTGTTTTGTTTGTGTGAATTTGGACCTCCCATGTCCCAAATTACTTTTATAAGTTATACTATGCGTTTCTTGCATGCCTGTGAGAGCAGTTGCCAGCTTGACTGATATCTAATTCATGGTTTCCTATCCATGTTAGAATCTGTCACTGAGCAGTCACCACAATTCTAAGTGACATGCTCGTATGTACAGATGTCTGAGAACTCGAAAATGTAATTAATTGATGGCAGGACAGCATGTTAGTGAATATTAAGAGTTTTAAGAGTTCACAATCAATGTAGACGTCTGAAGTCTCTGAACTAATGTATGAGAAGGCTGACACCCATTTGAGACAAGGAAAGCAGTATAATTCTTTATTGGTAATGTCAGATAGTCATGTATGTCTGCTTTTGGATTTTGGATCTCTCCTAATTGGTTCTGAAACTATCTTGCATTCTTGAGTTACAAATACATTATATTCTTCTAGGGTAAATGTGGTGTTTGTTTTAGGGGATCCAGCGATGCTGCCATATGATTCAAAGAAACTCATTCTGTCAAGTCAAGTTGCTGCATCTGCACTGTCTAAGATTTATGGGATATATCCTGGAATGTCATCTATGAACTGGCTCCAGAACAAGATTAACATAAAAAGTTGCTTTCATGCGTCTCCATCACTCTCTAAAGATGATTATCGAAGCCATTTTGTCAATCTGGTATGCTGAATAGTTGTTTCACTAGCTGCATAGGGTTTTTTTTTTTTTTCATATAATCGCCTGACATCAGTTGTGATTTGAATTCTTGGATCCTCCTTAGCCTTAATATTTCCTCTTTCCATGCCACATGTGACCTTAGCCTTGCTTTTCAGATATGGAGCTACTTAATTTCACAAAGAAACAATAAGAAAAGTACTTAAAAAAAAATATGGAAAACTGCTGCATAACCTCTTAAGTTCCCTTAATCGCAGGCAGATACTTATGCCAAGCAGTTTATTAATAAGTTGATTTGTGACCTTCCTGATAGCTTTTCCACTATTTCAGTTCTCATGTATGGTTTGACACTAATTAGAAGGTTCTAACTTTCTGGCTTCCAATCATTTTAATTTCAAGTACATTAGATAGTGAGCCTTAAGTATCAGAAACATTTGACTAACATTCTCCAGGATTGATGCAATATTTAAAGGCTATGTAAAACATTTGAATAATCATTTTCTACTAGTATTTTGGTCATTCTGGTGTCAAGCTTTTGTCTCATAACTTGAACATTTGTCAACATGACAGGAAGCGCGGATTGCCAGATTTCCTACAGGAGCAGTTTTATTGACTAATGCCATGTTTCTGGCTATGCCTTCAGAAGCTCTAGCGGAAACAAGTGAGGCAGTCAATTCCTTCTTCAATATGCCTGTGCTCTTATTTGTAGCGCTTGTTGGGGCAACTGTTGGAGGTGAGTATGTCTTTTTTTGCTTCTCATATTTCTATGAATTTCAGACTGAACTCTTTGGTAAACTATCTGAGACTGGAAAATGTAGAATCTGTATAAAATGATAGAGGGAACGAGGCTTAAAGTTGGCTATAAGAATACTGCTAAGACAGGCTTACTATCTTTGTCTCAGCTTGATCCCTGGAGGTTGTGAAGAAACTCATCCAAAGTTTGCTTTATGATTACACTAGAACCATATGGAGGGCTGAAGGTGATAGGCAAGCCTTTACTAGATGAAATTCATCTTGTTGAATACTGCTTGAGTAATGTCTGTGTTAGTTGCATGAGAGAAGCCATAATGCTCACATGCCTAGTAAGTTACCTCTTACCACAAGAGGAAGACATCCTTGTGCATGTTTAATAAGATTGCATCTCTGTTACTGGGTTGGATCTTTCATCTGAGAGCATTATTGCTTGAACTAATCATTGAAATGTGGAAACAATAGTTTTACAATTTCTACTTTTGCGCGCATTTTCCCTCCTCATATGAATTGGACCTAAAATTGTGCTGTGCTGCAGCCACTGTCCTTCGGAAAATCTTATCGGTTTCAGATATATGCAGAGCCGATGAAGTATTAGCTATGAATAATTCTTCAGCTACCTACTTTTCATTATTTGTTTAAATAAAAATAAAGGCCTTAGTTACACAAATTGCCAATTTCTCCCGTGCCTGGCCTGTGTCAAGTATATAAGCTTGATAGCTAATAATTCCATTATCTTGTGGATTGCGCAAACCACTCATATAGTCATTCTAAATTCACGGGTGGTAGTAGATTGTTGGTGCTTTGTCTTAATATTCTATGCTTTGGTCACAGGACTTCTTGCCCGGCAAAGGAAGGGCGAACTTGAAAGACTGAATGAACAACTGCGTCAGATTAATGCAGCACTAAGAAGACAAGCAAAAATTGAATCTTATGCGCCTAGCTTAAGCTATGCCCCTGTTAGTAACAGAGTCCCAGAGAGTGAAGTAATAGTTGATCCAAAGAAAGAGGAGCTGATTTCTCGTCTGAAGGCTGGGAAGAACTATCTAAGGAACCAAGAACCAGATAAAGCATTTACGGAGTTTAAGGTTGCTCAGGAACTTGCGAAGAATTTGAATGATCCTATCGAGGAAAAGAAAGCTGCCAGAGGCCTAGGTTGGTTTTTGCTCTACCTTATGATCTGGCTATATGTTCTGCTATTGATTTTTACATCAGCACTTTCTGCCCCTTTAACTTTGCTTCTTTGTTCATACACCATCAAGTGTCCAGTCAGTAGCCACCAAAACGAGCCAATACGTGAATCTGTAAATCAAACAAAACAACATCCCAACAGAGACAAGTTGGTGAAATTATTAGCTTTAGTCCTCAAATATCCCAATGTAGTTTCTGTTATTTAGATGATAACATAGCAGCTGGGAAAATAAACAACTAATGAGGTACTTGTATGGGCTTTTCATTTGTGGACAGGTAAGCTGTGTAGTAAAGAGTGCATTAGGGGAAAAAGAGTAGGTATGATCCCTTATAGTATCCTGTGTCCTTGAGTAGATATCATATTTGGATTGGCATGGGAATTTAGAAAAGTAGATAATGAGAGAATTAAGAAAAAAGGGTGGATGAAGAGAGATTTGAAAAGGTAAATGTGTATTTTTGAGACATCCATTTAAAGTAAGTGCTATGTAGTACGGAACGAGCGTATTGAAAGAGTGTACTGGCTCATTTTTAATAGGATAATGATAGGAGCATAACATTATGCTCTGTACAAAGACTAAGTAGATTTGCATGCATGTTGGAATTTGCCAATTACCTTGTACCACTATCATAGCTTATACAAGGTATACATTTTTCCTTGTGCTTGATTATGTAGATATGAAAAGCAATCTGTTAGCTCTAACAGGAACTATTATTTGCTATACCTTATTAGAACTGCTAATGATATTTCTATCCGCACATGGTCAAATAGGGCCAGTCTGTCTACCATATCCAGCTTAATGTGTGCACGCATGCTTTCTATTCCATGTTAAGAGTAAGTATGAAACAATTTGAGAGGGGGGCTACGTATCAAATCTTTTTTTGGATACTCCGTCCTTGAGTGGGTCATCACCCCTCGGTCCCTCACCATTATTGGTATTGATTTTCCCCTTGCATTAAATTTGAACTGTAAAAATGCTTTTCAGGAGCCTCCTTGCAAAGACAAGGGAAGTACCGTGAAGCCATAAGATACCACAACATGGTACTAGGTATATCTAAGCGCATAGGAGAAACTTCAGGTAATACAGAGGCATATGGTGCGATTGCTGACTGCTATACTGAGCTTGGGGATCTTGAAAAGGCTGGAAAATTCTATGACAAGTATATTGCTAGACTAGAAGATTAACCGTTTTTTTTTTTAATCATTACTGTCCTTTGCTAGCAACTCTAGAGATGTAGTGCAATTTTTGTAAAATGAGAATCATATCAGAAAGCTTTTGTATCACAGCAGTGCTAGCTTTAATCTGAGGAATGATCAATTCTTTTTTCTTTCACTTTATGTTTTAAATCTTGATTTTAATTTGTAATACTATCCTTCGCTATAGCCTACACAATTTATCAGAAACGTAATCTTCATAACAGAGAAGCATAATCAGCTACGCAACAGAGGTTACTGTATCAATGTAGCTGTTGGTGGGTTGGATTAGCTTACAACTTTTGGGCTAAAAGATCAATAGCAGAAACTAGCTAACACCAGAAAGAAAAAGGTAACACTATGTTAACAGGTGAAAAAGTGCACACCTAGATAGCAAATATCTCATAATATTTTAGTCATAACTGTCATATATGGGAAATTAGTATACACAGAAAACTTCCTCATAAAATGCTGTCACAAGGCTCCAAAATAATATGGTCATCCAAAGTCCATAAGAGAAAATAGAAATATATATATATATATAAGCTACTGTCCATAATGGACAAACTTCCTCTAGATCAACCATCAGTTCCTACAAGATAGGAAGAAAAGAAAATAAAAAAGAAACAGAAATTTCAAAAGCCGGGGTAAAGAAAAGGTGAGGGGAAAAAAAAAGGTTACATCATGCATCAACACACAGCACAATCAAGTACAAGGAGGGTAAAATGCCTCAATCCCACCCCCCACATAAAGGAGAAACATAGATAGCTAATAAAACAATTTTTAGACACACGAATGCAGATCTGCAGAACAGAACGAATCCAGAAGGGCTGTGCATCAAGATCTTAATGGTAGTACATCATTTGCTGGGCAGCAACATTTTGATACCCGCCATCATAAATAGCTTGGCTAGCTCCAGCAGCTGTCATTCCTATACTACCCTTGTTGAGTGGATGTGGCCCCTGTGTATGCATCAGAGCATGCATCCCACCCATCTTACTCATAGCTAGTTGCCTCTCATAAGAAAGAAGATCTGTAGCAGAAAGGCCTAGAGGTGCAGGGGCAGGTAGAGGAAGTGGGTTTGAAGCTGTCCCTGCTGGTGTCGGCTTGCTTCCCCAGGAGCACTACAAGGCACATGACAAACCATCAGGAAGCCAGGCCGCAGAAATATTTAAATATGCATCTATGAAAGAAGGAAATTACAACTACAAAAGAGTTTCAAGATAACAGCTAGAGGAACAATCTGGAGCTTAACCCACTTTCTCATGTGCACATAACATACAATCAGTCTAGCAGATGGGATAAGCAATTTTGGGAAAGGGAGGTTAAGTAAGCAACATGCCTCAATAACAAAAAACCAAAGTCAAAGAACCTATTACATTAAATGGAAAACATAGAATGATCAAATGCATCATGCAAAACCATGATGTCACAAGGTTAGAAAAAATCAATATCTTGGTGAAACTCATGCATACTTCCATGAATAGTGAAATTTGAACATGTATGCATTATAATTTATAACAAGACCACACTATCTATGTACATTGTTGTAAAAATTCAAAATGAGATTCACAAGACATACCTTGATTAATTTGCCCAAAAGCATACTTTGTGTATTTCCCAACTGAATGGCCAAAGCTGCTTCTGCATGAGTACTGTACCTAACAAAGCCAAAGCCTTTGTCTCGCTGCACCCTCACTTCTTCAATAGCTCCAGCACCCAAACTATGGAAGTGGCGATGGAGATCAAGCTGGGTGGTCTGCAAGCAAAACATGGTCAATCAGCGGTAAAATCTGCCCATTCTCTTCTAGCATTCGTCAAAAACCCTTATATAACAAACATCATTTCTTATAACTCTGGTTCTTATCGTAATATTTTAGATTTAACCGCACTAATTCATGTAAATGCAAATTCAGGCCATATCTCCCTACTCCAATTAACAGCATAAGTGCCTAACACAGCACATTTGACCAAAATTCTTCAAATACATTAAAAAATCTAACAGTGATTATAAGAAACATGAAATGGTGTGCTCAAGAAAACCGCAACATATTTGACAACCCTTCAGCCACAATAAGGATGCTACTGGGTAGGGCACAGCAAGTAAATCTAGTTGTATAAGCAAAAATGGAACGCTATCCTTCCATTGTAAACAATAAGGAAAAAAACAAAAAAAAAGAGGATAAGTGACATTGCATTACCTCAGGGGCAAGATTCCCAACATATACAGTTGTATACTGAGGATTGTTTTCAGGGGCTTCGCTGTTTGTGGCCTCCTTTCCATCTTCTGAAATTCCCAAAAAGATTTCATCACAAAAACAGATAAGTTGCTATGCAATGATATGCATGGATAATTCAGAGATAACCAATTCTGTAGGAGCATAAACACAAGAAAAACAGCAGAAGAACACCAAATGCAATGATTTAGAAGAAAAAGTCTGAATATTATAGGTGGTTCACTAGAGTTCCTATTTTGTCACCAGTTTGTTAAATTTAAGAAAACATATATTTGCCAACGAGGGCAGGTAAAAGAGTCACCCATTACTATAAACACAATAATGATTCATGATAGAATCATTTATATCCTTCTCCAAGTTGGTCACTGTCATTTGCATGGAGACTCATCCCAGATATTCCAGCAGAGACTCATGCACACAAAATAAGATTAAAAATTAACAGTAGATGAAAGTCACTAGAAGCCTTCCTCCATTGAATAGCAATAATGTATACTTCATAGAATTCTTTGTAATAGTAGATTAAAATCTACACCGAAAAAATATTTTTTTAAAAAAAGTACTTCGCCACGTCTCAAACTATTTACCGTGTTGATGAGCTCAAAAACATTGTGTTAAAAGGAAAGACAACACCTTATAGGCAGGGAAATACTTCACCATTTCAAGAAGATTTCTAGAAACAGGTTTCAGCTATAAAGATTGGCTACAGGGCCTATAGCAAATGCTGTGGTATGCAGTATACTAGTATAAACTGGACTTCCAATGTTGCTCCAACAAAAAAAAAATATTCATGAACAGAGTCCAGGCAGAAAATCACTGCAGGCGATGGTTTAAGCACAGGTGCTTCAACAATATTTTCCTAAGTTCGCATTGTACTATATAACACACAATCTAAACCTAATGCTGATTTACCTTTCAATTTTTCATTGCAATCTTTCTCACAAGTCACTACAGTCCATATTTCAGTGGGCTATCGATCACAATTTAAGCCAAGAATTTAAAATTTCTACACAAAGGCACCAGGCTGGCAAATATAAGTAAGAATTGACTCAATATCTGAATTTTCTAGGCACTAAGACCTTTCATTATCATGGCTTCAAAATCAGGAAGAATAGTAAGGTGTTTTATTAGTCGCATTAACATTTAACAGAATCTCAGAGAGTCAGAGGTCTTGAGTGAAGAAGGGTTGTTCTTTTTGAAGAGTGAAGATCTAGTACCCAGCGCGGCAGTCTTCCTCAAGGGTCAAAATAAGCTTAGGTGAACACATACAGAAGTTTACTTATGATGCCAATTGTGAAGACAGGTACCTACCCTTGCCTTGCTGATACAGGACGAAATCTCCTAGGTGCCTTCGAAATCAGCATCTATAGCCAAAACAGAGCAGTATATATGCTAATTAAAAGCGAATACTTTCCTAAGATGAACAAAAGATCTAGAATCATCAGTTTTAAGAATCCAGACAGGCTAATAAGCAAGCTGAGCACGTAGATTCCTCTATAAACCTTGTTACTTATTCTCCACTTAATCAACCCAAAGACACACCCATTCCTTCCATGCACTTTGATAACAAACTTGTAAAGCTGTGACAGACTGACAATAAGCCAACAGATTGAATACACTTGCAATAATAATGCACTCAATGTTATAGCTAATAAGGACACATTCAATTTTTTAAACATACATTTGACACCTTAAGTCAGGACCTAAGAACATCAACATCATTGACAAGCCTCAACTATAGAGGTTCTCATTCAAGACATAGTGTGTGTTATATCTATGCATATACAAGGGTAAGCTAGTTCTGACAAAGTGACATGCAACAAGTCAAACAACAGCTGGCATTTTAATCTAGTCCACAACCAGGGCCAGACAGTGAAACAGAATCTAACTCCACTGAAGATGAAAATGAATCACAATATGCCAATAAAAAGAAAAAGAAAAGAAAAAGGAAAAAAAAGCCCATTCATGTTACTATCATTAGAATTCGAGCTCGGCATTCCTTTGTCTATTTCAATTCCATATATATTGAATCAGATCCACCTTAGCATCAGTAGACCTCCATGACTCAATTCTAACTGCTATAATTATACCAAAAAACAGTAACGAAACCAAACCATAACTTGAACTTTTATTTAAGCAATGGTCTTGGAACTAATGCCTAAAACCATTTCACTGACTCAATAATAACCAAATAAGGTAGTAGATGTTTCGAACTGAAATGAATGAAATCCTAGAACATAATGTGGGATAACTACAAACCTGACTGAAATGAATGAAATCCTAAAACATAATGTGGGATAATTACAAACCTGATGAACCATTTGTCAATTCCACCACACTTTTTGAATCAGTACTTTGCTTATCATCACTGTTAGTAGCACCTTTAGTGGCCCAATTGCAGCGTATCTGCCTACTACCAAGCCATTTCCCTGAAATATACATACAGAAGTACAGAACATTATTATAGTTATGTTGAAATGTAAAATTACAATAAATAAGATGGAAATCCGTGTGTCTAGGAACTATGGGGAGTCACATCCTTGATAAGAAAGGAAAAACAGTCAGACAGCATTAAAAGCAAATAGAGTCAAAATGACAATATTTTCTCCAGCCATACAAGGACCCATCAGTTCTAAACTACAAATAAGAATCCCAAGTTTTAAACATACCATAGCCTTATTATACAACCAAATAAAACATAATTTTATCTAAATTAAACCTAGTAGGAATAAGAAGTTACATCTGTGACATAAGCAAAAATATTGAAGCAAACAAAGTTTACTTATCCAGGTGTGAAATATCCAGTTTAACATGTAATAATGACTTAAAAAAAGACAAATATAAGCGAAAAAATTCTATCAAAAATTATACAAATCCCTCTAAGAAACATTCAACGAATGGGGAAGAGAGAAACATATGATGAACATCTTGCTCTGAACGATGCAAGACATACAG